TGGCCACTAGCTGAGACTGTATTTGTTCCGATTCCTGATTAGTTCAGATTCAGTTTCTCGGCCATGATTGTCAATAGCCAACTGGTTTGCCTCCTTGCCAGTTGGTATTCTTAACACATTTTATGTTTCTTTGATCATTCATTTCCGTTTCATTAATTGTAGGAGGGCCATAATGGAAACTGCTGGGCTACCAGTAATGTATGTCATCCTCGTTAAATAAAGTTTATTTATCTATCTATTTTAGAATTTATTTCGAGCGTAAATGGCCAGGTATACCTTTACTTTTGGTTGGCTGTGGAGGTAAGGCTGATGAATTATGATCAGTAAATATAGTGTTTGCGTAATTTAATCAGAGTTACCTGGCTGTACTTACTGGACGATGTTCAGGAACATGTTCACAACCAACAGTACTCTATTATCATATCTTAAAGATGGTCGTTTATCTATGTTCTGCCGAGAGAAGAAGAGATTAATTCATATAACGTACTTATCACTTATTCTGACAGGGATATCGTGTGACAGCCGAACAACAGCTTTCAGTAAGGATGGAAAAACATCTTCACGATAAAAATACGCAGAATAGCAGTTCTTCTTCTCCAACGGAAAAGGTTTCTTTGTTTACATAGTTTGATGATATTAATAAGATTTACTTTGATTGATATCTTTCGCTGTTGTTATACTGAAGAAATAGACAACGCGTGCGCGTGCAATGTGCTCTCATAAAGCAGGCGCTCCAAACCAATCAGAACGCGACATTTATAACAGTTATTTTATACAACGTTACAGGTGATGACTGAACTAGCCAATCTTCGTGCTGCAGCTAGAAGTATATTTGATCAATATTTATCTGACAAGGTAAGTAGTTTAGAACGTTTCCTGGTGCTTTAAGATATTCATTGATGATGCCGTTTCATCGTTGTCGTAGGACATCAAGTGGTTACGTATTGGGAAGGGTGTTCATTGGTGTAGTAGGATGACACGTGGTGGTGTATTGCGTATGTTATTCATTGGTGCAGAAGGATGTCATGTGGCGTATTGCCAAGGGTGTTCATTGGTGT